AATCGGTTCAGATTTAGATATAGCTCCCATATATATTTTCGTCCGATTTTAGGTAAATAGTGCACCAAAGTCCCTATATATATCTCGATTTGTACGAAATTTGGCATAGCGTATTTAATTGAGTATAGAATGGTGTTTTTAAGTTTCGTGAAAATCGGTTCAGATTTAGATATAGCTCCCATATATATCCCTATATATCTTTCGATTTGCACGAAATTTTGCACATCGTAATGAATAAGGTCTAGAATGATGTCTGCCAAGTTTCGTGAAAATCGGTTCAGATTTAGATATACCTCGCATATATATTTTCCTCCGATTTAATGTAACAGGAGCACTAATCCCCTATAAATTTTACGATTGGCACGAAATTTGGCAAAACGTACTGGATTAAGTCTAGAATGATAAGTTTTGGAAAAATCTGAAGATGATTTGTCTGTTCTATCGCCTGGATATTGTATATATTATCGCCTGTTGTATGTACCCATAGTGGTGAAGTGTATCATATAATCGGCCCAGTCCGACTTTACTATTTCCTTACTGGTTATACCCAACACAACTATGTTGTCAGGGTGTTATAGATTTGTGCATCCCAAGAGTTTGTAACACCGCGAAATATTGGTCCTAGACCCACCATTAAGTATAGGGATCGTCATACCTCGACTATCTGAGTCAATCTAGACATGAAATGGACCAAAAACTTTATTTTTGTCTGATTTTCTGGTCGCTCCAGAGGCCGCAATTATGACCCAAACTTTGCGAATTTTTACATGGAGAAGGGGATCGGGCGAAAGAATAAGCATGCCTGTTTTGATAAAGATCGGCTAATATTTAGCTGTTCAAATGGACCCAGACTTTTGTTCGAAAAATGACAAAATTTGTAGTCTATAGCGTATATTTTACCCCTGAAGGACATATATTGACCCTCAAATTGATACCAATTATATGGCTGTATGTACTCTGATGTGGGAGTTATACGTAATTAGGCAAAGTTGACTATATGCGTAGTATTACTACTACTCCATTAGAGGACGGAAATGTCACGCTGATTGTTTTGTAATTGTACATGAAGTTCAGATTATGGTGAAGGACGACGCCTATAGTTTTTGGTGAAGTTGAGATTTCATTCAGGGAGTGCAATGAACCGAAAACTTTAATTTTGTCAGATTTTCTAGTCGCTCTAGAGGCAATTGTTGTTTGAAGAATTTCACATATTTTACAATGTGAAGGGGATCTGACCAAATACTTAGAGTGGCTGTTTAGAGTTTGATCGGTCAATATTCGTGGGGTCAAATCAATCAATACCTAAAGTGACCAATTTTTTATTTAATGGCGTAAAAATTCACTTCAAGAAAAAAATTGGAAAATATTCCAGGGTAATAAAGTGGAGTTCTTGATCTATAATCGGTAAAAAGGGTGCAAATATCACGAAATATTGCCCAGACTCAGAATATAGAACCGCAGAAAGCTTGATTTTCGTGGTAGTTGTGTAGGGTATCATATGGTTGGCCCCGTCCGAATATACTGTTCCGCTCACTGGTTTTATATTAAAAAAGTAATTGCTTGCCTTTTCATTCCTACTACACATAATCATTTTAGTTCCTATAATGATGGACCCATATAACCTAAAATAACCCTTAATATTTTGGGTCTTTTTTAAACGAATAACTATATTACGGTTTAAAATTTTCATAGTGATTGTATGGACATATTTGGACACGCTTACCAACCTGAATGTATAAAATATTACAATTTGCGTTCCAAATAATCCTACCAAAAGTAGTCAAGATTATAACAGGGTAACTTCTAATTGGAGGATTTCAGTCATATGTTCCACTCCACCATCATTTATCAAAATCAGTCCACATTTTAAAGTTTTTTAGATTTTAGGAAAAATTTCCCTTAAAGTCTCTGATACTTAGTATTTCTGTTCCTTGTGTATTACAATATTCTCTTCGAAAAATTGTCGGTATGACGCCAGAAATTATTAAGTATTTCTAATGCCATCATCACAAGCTTTAAGCACTCTTTTCAAAATAACACCTTCTTCATTTTAACTAAATATAATTTTATTTCGGGGGTTTTAAATAAGCCTACATCGAATTTTTGTTCATAAGATTTTTTTTTTTTTGAAATTTTAAATATTTTTAATGCACACCTGCAGTCACAGAGAACGCGAAAGTATACAACCACCAATCAATCTCGTTTGAGCTGTTGATGAAGGCGGTTGTGCCGTCGCTTGTTTTCATGATTTTGATCGTAGCAATGTATAATTGCAGACAAAGTTTCTCGAGAAAGCGAGAGACTTACTCTCACAGGCTTTGTGTCTGTGTGACCAAACAAATTCATATGTATACGAACCACTATTTATTTTAATTTGTTATGGATTCTAATGTGATTCCGTATTCTCTCTCCATATATGTAGGCCGCATTGTACTTAGAGTATATTATAGTAGGACCCATGTTCTTTTTGGTTCAGTTTTTTCTTCTCCCTCCTCTTACACATCATGTCTGGTATTAATTTCATGTTTTTATGGAACTGCTTCAGAATGTCAGTAGGGAACTTGGGTGCGTATACCTAATACTCGTAGATGACTTCTTTGTAAATATAATGCATACGCAACATATGACAATCGTTTTAATCAATCGTTCATTCTATTTTTCATTGTCATTTATTATTTAATTTATAATTTATCTTCAGCGAATATAAACCATTGTTTATTCTTCAACACACACATTTGCAATTGAACAAATCCCAATAAAATCTGCCGACAAATAAAGTGCAAATTGTTCTTCAAACTAAAAAAAAACAAAAACTATACATAGAAAATCCTTTGAGATTAGTTTGGTTCCTGACAATTGAAATTGTGTTGAATAGGAAAAAAAAATACATACCTAAATGCACATCGCCACATTGGCCAATAATAAAAAGCAGAGAAAAAATATCCATTGTATTCGAACCATTCAAATAAATACCCCATAGAAATGTGTCATTGCAATTACAACAATATTGCCTGTTAAAGGAAACAATTGGAACGACAACAGGTCAGAGGATATAAAACAGCACATTACACTTTTTTGTCTATTGCTTCCGTATGTGCAATAGAAATTGTTGTTTCTTTTTTCTTCAAACGTCCATTTGTCACTTTTACAAATGAACTTTGACTTTCTTGGACTATGTGGCCTTTAGTTATATACTAAGGGCAAGGCAGTTAGAATGTAATTGTTAAGAATTCTCATATTATGGCTATGTATATTGCATTACCCGGAATGTATGGTCCCATGGAGGTGATACAGTTTTTAAGTTGGACATATACTCAACTGGCACAAATAGTAGAACATTATTCTATATTTTAAAATTTCATCATGATAAAACCAAGTATTTGAGTCTCATTCGGTAACTTTCTTGTTTGTTTCTTTGCAGATTCAGCAAAATACCCCGTCGTTGTGTGTGTGACGAGGAAACACAAAGGTATTGTAACACCAGCAGGAACCGAAGTAACAACAAAGTTCTCCTGCTTCTTGTTGTTGCTGTTGCCAGTATCATCAACAAGTCCAAAAAGAGCAATAACTAGCAGCAATACAATACAAATAATAGTAACTGACAGGCCAATAAGCTATAGTCTAACATACGAACGAATACTAAATAATAAAGGACCCAAACGGTTAGCGCCAGTAAAAAAGGATAACAGCAACCGACCGAAAAGTGCATATACAATTGTATAATATTTGCCATCAATACATTAGGACAACAAAATGTTTATCCGCACAACAACAATGAGATGTTTGAAAAACAGCACAACAGCAGTAAAAATGAAAAACAAGATCAATATCTTGCAGTGGTCACCCATAGGACATCAACAACGACATATACACACGTCGTCCTGCACACGTCCACAGATCATCGGACTTCAAACGAAATGTCAAAAACGAATCAAAATCAAAATTTCAATTCCCCGAAAAATGAAGCAGAAAATCAAACACAAAAAGAAAACGAATTGCAGGCAACGGCAAATGGAACAAAAAATATCTTCCTTAAGCAACTAAGCCTGTGGTTATATTTGGGTCTATATTTTATTCTGCCCGGGTATGCACAGCGTCAGCGTCAATATGAATGTATTATAAAAAACCCATTACAACTATTAAATCAAATTAAAAGAAAACTGCTAAATAACTGTAGCTGGTTAACGTATACAAGTGTTGCCAACCATATGCAACAAATAAGTATTGCCAAATATAATATAGAATTTTTGCAAAATCTCCCATATAAATTAAGTTTAAGTGTAATTCTGATACGAGTAGAAAGGATATTAGGAATTTGCCTTATAAGACTGATACAACTAACAACATTACAACAACAACAACCACAACAACAAATTCCTAAACATGAAAAGCAACAACACATAAAATACAATAACAGCAACAACAACAGTATCCATACAACAATGGATACTATTTGGAATAATCAAATCTCAATATTCAAAGAGTTGAGAATATTTGTAGAGAAAATGATGGCACACATTACTTTATGCTCCGAACAAGAATTGGACACATTTCCAAAAATATTCTATACACGATACATTCCATGCGAACAGCGCTCTGTGGAAATCCCTTTTATCTCCTCAAATATAATTAGAGCAAATCAGTTTTTGCTCACCAACAATTTGCAACACATAAAACTATTAATGTTTCACTTGCAACATCGGCAGCAAACACTAGCCAAATTTCCAGTAGTAGTATCCTTTGTGGCTGAACAACATACCTCCAGCCAAGGAACAACTTTCCAAAATCTAGTTGTTAAACGAATTCACTTAGAAACATTGGCAAGTTCCATGAACTCCATGATTTTAACTCATAAAATAAACGAAAACGATAGAACGGAAGACCAAACAAAATACAAAGCATACCGCGCTACAACATCAGCGCCATTACAAGGACATGGAGTTATTCAGCAGCTACCAAGCCAACATTATGATAATAATAAATATTATCTTGTTTGTAAGCAACTGCAACTAAATGAACATCCCAATAGAGAACGTAAATACAGAAAGGAGCAGGCGGCGCCGTTGTCCTCTTTACAAGACCAGGAATACAAGTGCCAGTACATCCTGCCTACCCCCTGCTCTTGGCAGATATACGGATTTCCGTTAATGTTACAAAAAAGAAATTTCAAATATCTTACAAAGCTAACGGAGCATACAAAGACTACAGTTAACAACAACAGCAGCAACAACAACGGCAGCCACAACAGCTTCGGCAAGAGCAACACACATTCCACCGTACCTCCACATTTCAATGATAATGGTTGTGATAATGAAGGTTTGCAGCAAGGCGGGTCTAATGTATTACCCCAAAGAATTCCTCAAGTTCCCAAAAGTGACAGAAAGACAACAACAACAATAGCAACAACAAAAACGGCGGCATTTTACAACACAAATCCTAAGACCAACAAATCCATGAGATCCTTTAAGACAGCGGCTGGGACCCTACACTTTCATACTCCAACAAATGCTTATGCAGCAAATATTCCATCACACAAGCTTCAAGTGTCGGCAACATTGTCCAACACATTGAAGTCAACAGAGACAAGACAAATGTCTGTTCCTTCGCCATCGTCGTCGTCGTCTTCTTCTTCTTATTTAACGTCAGTGCTTCCACATTTTAAACATTGTCATCATTCAAATTTCCACCTAAAATTATCCAACAACACTTTCGTCTCCACTTTGCCAAGTCTTCTTACTAAGCCATTGTCATTCTTCGCCTCGCCAACGTCGTCGTCGTCATCGTCCATATTATCGTCTTTGCCATCCTTTTCACGGACCCCACTATTGTTGTTGTTGTTCGTTCTATTGCTATTGTCATCCATGTGGCATACATCCGAGGCATTTCATGGTAGCGTCAAATTGAGCACGAATACCATCAAAACGAAATTTGGTCTGGTGCGTGGCATTGTGGTGCGTTCATCGCCATTAGTTGAAGCTTATCTGGGCATACCGTATGCATCGCCACCTGTCGGAAGTTTAAGGTAATTATTTTTAGATTTTTATTTCCATACCAATGCTAGCTATCTATGTATGTGCGTACGTACGCCTCACAAGATTTCTTGAATTGTATGGCAATAATATAGAATTAATATACAGACATAAATATGTATGTTTGCATTTATGTTCAGTACAAATATTAAATTTTGGAAAGTGGTCAATGTTGTACAAGAAAAAGACGACATTATTGGAAACTATTTAAGTAAGGGCGCAACTTAATGAAGTTTGTCCGAAATCCTTGTATGCGTTTCTTTCTTTTCATCCATAGGTTATTTTATTGTTAACGAATCATAAATTACACTGTGCAACAAAATTTAGGTGTGTGGACAAAAACCATATTTTTATAATCACTAATCTATATATGGGCAATATTACCAATTTTTATACCCTACACAACTATGTTGTCAGGATATTATAGCCGCGAAATATTGGTCCTAGACCCACCTTTAAATATACCGATCGTCATGTCTCGACTAGCTGAGTCGATCTAGACATGTGTGTCCGTCCGTCCATTATAATTTGTAAAGACGATACAGGCCACAGTTATGGACCAATCTTCACACATTTTTGCATGTAGGATGGGTTCGGCCAATGAAGACCCCTATTTCTTTTGGAAAATATCGGTTAATGTTTAGGGGATGAAATGGACCAATAACTTTATTTTTGTCGGTTTTTCTGGTCGCTCCAGAGGCCGCAATTATGGCCCAAACACTGCATGGATAAGAGGATCGGGCGAAAGAATAAGCATGCCTGTTTTGATAAAGATCGGTCAATATTTAAAGGGTCAATTGGACCCTAACTTTTGTGTGAAAAATGAAAAAAAAAATGTATTCTATAGCGTATATATTTACTCCTGAACGACATAGAGCCGACATAGTATATCCAAGAGGAGTGGTTGACCTTTAAATTGATACCAATTATTGATACCAATCGGCCCCGTCCGACTATACTGCTGCGCTCACTGGTTTAATATTCCATTTTCAAAAAATCGGCATTTTTGTTTTCGTGGTACACCAATAATTTTTGATATACATATAGAGAAAAATGTTCTGACCCCGAAACCGTTCACGATTTTTGGTTGATGCGCGCAAAAGTAATCGAGGTTTTAATTTTGGGCATAAGAAAAATCTTAAAATTACGCCGTTTATTTTATTGACCAAAAACGTATAATATGAATATAACCTATTTGAATTAGGTCCATTAAGAATCATGGATTACATCTCTCCTTCGGCTGAAGTTTTAAAAGTTCTGTTTTCGCAAAAGTTCAAAACCCGTACAAGGTCATTTATTGAAATGATCCACAGAAGTTGCAATTAAATCCGCGACATTCTCAAAAAAATTGACAAAATTCGCGTTTTTGGAAGGCCAGTTCTAGTACATGGATTTTCACGAAGAAGATTTTATTTCATACGAAACGTAAAAAAACCTTACTGATCGGGAGTACCCATATCATTCAATTGACACATCTAAAAATTTGGCCCGAAAAATAGGTTTTTTAGAAATTTGATCGCACAAAATTTTCACCTTCGGATGAGTACTACTCTGAAGCTTTGCATACTACATACACAAAATATATATCAAATTACCCAGATTCGCGACTACAATAATTTTCTAATCGATTTTTAGAAATTCCTGTTAGCGTATTATAGCTAGAAGTAAAATTAAAAAAAAACATTCAAAATCGAGCTTCAAAATGTCAGCATAATTTAAAGGTATATGTAGTTGAAATTTCGAAAAATGATACATAAGAGACGTAGTCCCCATTTTGTTGGCTTCTAGATTTACTTTGACATGAAGACCGTGGAATGAGTGGCTTAGTCACTAATCGATAGAGAACATAAAAAACTGGTTCGCCTCAACCTGTTTTTTCACACTTTATTATACCCTCCACCACACTGTGGTACAGGGTATTATGTTTGTAACAGGCAAAAGGAAACGAGATAGACACATGGCTCCTTTTGCGAATATGCATAGAATTACTTTCTGAGCCGATTTACGCATGTCCGTCCGTCCGTCCGTCCATGTATTTTTGTGAACAAAGTACAGGTCGTATTTATGATCCGATTTGGATGAAATTTAGCATAGTTCACTTATTTGGCCCAAGGACGAACCCTAATGAAATTGGGAAAAATCGGTTCAGATTTAAATATAGCTCCCATATATATATTCGTCCGATTTTATGTAAATGGTGAACCAAAGTCCCTATATATCTTTCGATTTTCACGAAATTTGGAATGGTGTACTAAATTAAGTCTAGAATGATGAGTGATGATGAACATGAAAATCGATTCACAAAATCCACCAAAATCCCTATATATCTTACGATTTTCACCAAATTTGGCATAGCGTACTGAATTGAGTCTAGAATAGTGTTTCGAGAATATCGGTTCAGATTTAGATATATGTCCTACATATATATTTTCGTCCGATTTTATACATATGGTGCACCATACTCCTAATGTATGTCGGATTGACGCGAAATTCGGCACAACGTACCATATATATTTCGAAGGGGTTATGATTGAGACTATATTTTTAACAGTGCGGCATACTGAGTATCGTGTATCAAGTTTGCTATAAATCGATTTCCTTAAATTTGTCCCATTGATTCTTAATCTGCCCGATTGAAATTAAATTTAGCATAGGTTGCAGAAAGGTGTATGTTCCTTCGAGGGAACATTGACATGAAATTGTTAGGATACATATGTACAATATACATAAAGTGGTGAAGGATATCATATAGTCGGCCCAGTCCGTCTTTACTACTTTCCTTACTGGTTTTTCATTAAAGTAGACACAGTTTTCACCCAAATAAAGTTTGGGTAATATTGCCCATATATAATCAGTAAGGAAAGTCTAAATGTATATTAAACAGGACTATTAACATGAAATTGGATGAAATAAAATATGTGATATTTATCTAAATGTGATTCTCCCTAGATCTATCCATAAAGTATGTAAATCGACTTCAAACAAATATAAATAGGTCATCCGTTGGGCTATGTCTGTACTTCTAGAAAACGCAACTATGTAATTCTATGCTCAATTTTGTAAGTTGTGCAAAATTTGATGTCAATCTGACTACATGAGGAGTTTGATGCCCAATTTACTTGAAATCGGACGAAAATATATATGGATGCTCTATCCAAATATTAAGCGATTTCAAACAAAGATGTCACAGGTTAGGTTCCAGTAATTTCAGAACGTTTTGTTCCGATTGGTTCCTTGGTGCGTCAATTACTTAAAATCAATCTATAATAAAAGGGAGCTATATCTAAATCTGGACCGATTTTCACGAAACAAGGCAGACAGACATCACTCTATGCTCAATTCAGTACGTTATGCCAAATTTCGTACAAATCGAAAGATATATAGCGACTTTGGTGCACCATTTATATGAAATCGGACGAAACTATATATGGGAGCTATATCTAAATCTGGACCGATTTTCTCGAAACTTGGCAGACATCATTCTAGGCTCAATTCAATACGTTATGCCAAATTTCGTGCAAATCGAAGGATATATAGGGACTTTGGTGCACCATTTACATGAAATCGGACGAAACTACATATGTGAGCTATATCTAAATCTGGACCGATTTTCTCGAAACTTGGCAGACATCACTCTAGTCTTAATTCAATACGTTATGCAAAATTTCGTGCAAATCGAAAGATATATAGGGACTTTGGGGCACCATTTACATGAAATCGGACGAAACTATATATGGGAGCTATATCTAAATCTGAACCGATTTTCATGAAACTCAGCACACATCATTTTAGGCCTAATTCATTACGCTGTGCCAAATTTCGTGCAAATCGAAAGATATATAGGGACTTTGGTGCACCATTTACATAAAATCGGACGAAACTATATATGGGAGCTATATCTAAATCTGAACCGATTTTAATGAAACTCAGCACACATCATTCTAGGCCTAATTCATTACGATGTGCCAAATTTCGTGCAATTCGGAAGATATATAGGGACTTTTTACATTAAATCGGACGAATATATATATGGGAGCTATATCTAAATCTGAACCGATTTTTCCCAATTTCAATAGGGTTCATCCCTGGGCCAAATAAGTGACATATGCCAAATTTCATCCAAATCGGATCATAAATGCGACCTGTACTTTGTTCACAAAAATACATGGACGGACGGACGGACAGACGGACATGCGTAAATCGATTTAGAAAGTGATTCTATGCATATTCTCAAAAGGAACCAAGTGTCTATCTCGTTTCCTTTGCCTGTTACAGTGCATGCGATCATTCTATGTACACGTTTTCCATAAAATGCGCGCCAATTTTGAAACAAATGAAATAATAGAAAATCAGAAGACATTCGAAATAGATTTGTGATTCTAAATATTTTTCTTGAAAATAATAATAATAATAGTTCCATACAAACATGAGTTCCGTTCCAGAACCTAAAAGAATCTACTAATTTTACAAGTTTTGCAATTTCTTACTCGAAAACCGTTCCTGAACCCACAAAACTTGTAAAACATTGAATCAAATTTAATAGAGCACAAAACAAAATGGCATTCTCTTTGTAAACTTTTTACTCGAGAAATTTGGCCGAGTAAAAATGGTAAACAGGAATACTTACATCTGATTGGCTGTTATGTTGATTTTTTATTGCCATCTAATTTTGGCATATTTACTAGATTTCCGTTCCTGAACTTTTCAAAATTTGTTGTACTCTGATAGCGGTTTTGGAATGTTTCCCTTTTACTAGCTTTACTATTAAAAAAGTACTGGAACCGACCAATGCTGCTCCTTAATGTATCTAAAATGTTGCTATGCCACGGGAAATATAAAATATGGTGGTTACATACCTAATTGTTGGTCAATGTCTTTGAACTTATAAACACAACACCTCGCGTATATTCTATACCAAAAATGTGTATCTCAGAGAAAACTAATATATGATGATATTTCCTTTCAAAATTCTATCATTAAGCTCATATGGAAA